AAAAAAAAAATGAAAAGCGGCTAGGCCATATACATACCCCTGCAAGCAAGCAAAATCTATAATAAATTGCAATTATATCTTCAGATCTCTTCTTTCCACTCTTAAACTAATTTAGACTCATCCTCAAAATTGCTTACATGCTATGGAGATGACTCTTTATAGCTTATAAAATCTTTTTTAAAAATTTGATTACTCAGCTGCTCACATGCAAATGCTTGCCCCTTGTCTAAGGAAATCAGAGTTAGCTGTGCTGACCGCTGTGATTTTCCAGAAATATCACACACCACAACTTATGCACTTTAAACTGTTCCAAAAACACAGAGCATGTTAACCATTGTTTACATGATGGACACAGACAATAACCTCTTTAATGGAACACATCTATCTGCATTCTATCCATCGGTACCTTTGTAAATGGCTCAGAATGCTTGGTTACGACACAAAGCTGGTTTACTGCCTGAAGTTCCCATTTTACCAATGAGTTTTCCAGGAAGATGATACCATATACTGATGTAGTAATCTTACTGCAATCTGAGGAGACAACAAAAGATGCTTTGTTCTTCTTTAGGATTTAGGAGCAGAGAAGACTCCAGAGATGGAATTAGGAAGAAAAAGACAAATCACACCAAAAGTACAGCTGCTGATAATCTTGTCTCTGTTGATACTAACATACATCCTTGATCCTCTATTCTCTCAGTATTCAAATAATAATGAAAAAGAAGAATGTATGCATAAGCATGCCAAATAATTAGATGAGAAGTGCTCTGCTCCAGTCCTAAGTATGGATCTAAATTTTGATAATGTAACTTTAATTTTCACATTTCTTTCCCCTTTTGACATCACTCTATAGACACCTAAGCGATGATGAATCTGACACCAGTCATTTGGGAATCCAAGTGGTACTCACCTCGGCTTTAATTTTATTGTCTCCAAAGCAGAGGTGCTGTAAGTAGGCCGCCGCATTAGACTGGACCGAAGGAAACTGATGTTGCAACATCTGGATCACTTCTGGCAGTTCCGGGTCTCTCCATCCAAATTCTCTGAACAAAAGGAAGGAAGGCGGGAGAACATGAGAGAGAAATCCTGCAACACTCTTGATGTATGGTTAACTCATTTAGGAGTTCTTGAGAATGTAAGTGGGAATGTTTCACAAGTGATTACTGTGGTTTTTCTACACGTGTACCTACTTAAAAAAGGATTTGAAAAGATTCCCTTGAGTAAATGGTTTGTAAATATACATATGTGTATACATACGAATATAGGTATGTCCACAGATACATACATAATCTTAAATATATCAACTGATGTTACATATTTATGAAGATTGTGAAAAAAACAACTTAAATTGGCACATGCTTTTATTAATACAGACATTTTTCATGGGGCTTCAGTGGATTATTTATAAGTTCACATTTATTTTCCAATATATTATTTCTACAGTCTTATTCAGGTATAGCATTTAGTTAAATTATCAGACAAGAGAAAATTTAGCGTGATGGGTCCAATCTAAAATGTCATGAAAGCAGTTAATGCCATCATTATTATTTTTATGACTATGATTATTATTGTCATAGTCTCTTCTTTAAAAATAGGTTCCCCAAATGACTCTCTGGGGATGAAAGCAGAGTAACAAGAAGGCTTTATAAAAGAAAATTATACATTTAAAGAGTTAGGTTTATTTAAACAGTGTTAATAAATTTTATGCATTGTACATTCTTCTCTTGTACCCTCCTGTTTACATCCGAGCTACTCCACGAAGCTGGTTGTTTATTTAACTTTAAGAAACATGCCATAGGATACTTAAATCCACTCTAAAGTACCAAGTCAATTGTACCATTATGCAAATGAGCATTCTTCTATGAAATCAATCAGCTCAACTGGTCAGAGCACGGAGCTAACAGGGTCGGATGTATGGACTCCATTCCTGTAGCAGGGAGCCAATTTTTAACAAAGAAGTAAAAAAGCAACCTCTGAGACCACAGATAAAAACCTGACCCCGTGAGTCACATAAGGGTGCTATTTATCTGAAGGACAGGGTGGAAGAGAAACGAGACAGCTTAGCAACAACCACTCCACTCCAGCAAAAACAACTCAGAAGCATATATCCTATTGATGCCAGGTCAGTGCTGTCATCTGAGAAGAGGAGCCATGAAAAATGGGACAGAGATGGAGCAGACAAAGGTTAAAAGTTTCCCCGTAGATTCTAACCTGTTCTCTTTATCTCTTCTTTATCACAACTGGTAGAGGTTGTCAAGCAAACCTTCAAGCATGCTGGTGCTTCCTTACAGCCACTGAAGGCAATATGGAATAGGATTCCTTCTGCACTGGCTTAGTTTTTATTGGAAAGATAATGCATTCGCTTGAATGTATGTTAAGTATCTAATAAGTTTACATAAAATCTTAGGCAGGCACACATTTTCAGAAGGGCATATGGTACAGTAACACATTTGCTACAAAACATACTTAAGTGATTGCTGATAATGGACAAACTATTGAATATTCTTTGGCTAAATGATCATAGTAGAAAACAATTCTGGATGAAAACACAGGGAGCCCGTTTTTCTCTTTAATTTCATTTCCTTTCATTGCATGATTGTAAACCGCCTCAATGTGCAACATTCAGATATCACAGTCCTTTTTCTTATAACAGCAGCCTCCTAAAATTATATTCTTTGTTCAAGTTAAATCAAAATCTATAGAATACCTATAAATTAAAATCAGAAGTGTCACCTAAAGACAGTGGATGGCTGAGATGAATACAGGTAAGCCCATGCTACGGGAAGGTGATTAGTAAAGAATTCATTTAGCTTATTTTATTAACCAGATGGTAATTGTTCTATTAGGCTTATACAGCACATATCAAGCTGGACGAAGAAGAGAAGATGAGAAAGAACCATCTACAATTTTCTACAGAAGCCCAGCTCATAACTCTCATTTCTTACTGGGCTTCACTTTAGAAATGTTAATGGAACTGGAGAATATGCAAATGTAACCTTTTCTCCATTAAAATTTGTCACACAGACCAACAATATTGTGACTAAATCCTCACTCTCTTAAGGACTATCTGAGTTGTTAAAATTACAAGGCGCTTAGCACGGAGCTAAATAGCGAACAGTTTGAAATTTGTTACTATGTTATGCTGGCACTGAAAAGCAGAGAGCGGATGTACCATCACAACATTTTCATCAAGTTTACTCCAGCACTGAGAAGAGCCCCAGGACAACCAGGGGCTTCAGGAATTCAAACTGTGATTTTTCAGCAAAGCTTCGTGTGAGGGGGACAGAGCTCACTTTGACTGCAAACTCAATAAACCCCATTCGCGGCTGTATGGACAGCTCAGTCATTTATCGTCTTCTGAACTCTAACTAGAAGTTTTAAAGACCATATTGGCTTGAACTTTTCCATCCAGAGCCATAAGGTGAGCTGTTTTGGTTTCTATCTGGTCTCGTTGAGATGACAGGGTTAGAGGGTGACAGGCACTGATCACAAGAACAAGTTAGATGGAATTTTTTTTTTTATTTTACAAAATGGAGATATTTTTATTCTTGTTGACCAATAAAAACTTATCCGATGATAAACACATGAAAGTAGTAATGTCTTAATTCTCATCCCTGAATAGTCTGTCGCCAAAACAAAAAGCTGCCCTATAGGGTTAATCGTGTTTAAAAAACATATCTTTGCTTTTATATAAACAGTAGCACTGGAATGATGACCACCTAGAAGCAAGCTTGCATGTTACGGTTTTCAGAAAGAAATGGCTCTCTCCAAGCTTCACGTTTGAGAAAGGTAATGTAATGGAGCATTAACTCACTCAGCCACCGTTTCTTGACCTGTCTCAGAATGGAACAGCTGCACGGCTCCCTGTGGGCACACTCAGTTCAAGGGCAACTGGACACTGGGACCACCCAGTTCTTCCCTATTATCAGTGATCTGCTTCTTATCTAAAATCTGTGTGTATATATATGTAAATCTATATTTTTAAACTGAAGTATAGTCGGTTACAATGTGTCAGTTTCTGGTGTACAGCGCATTGTCCCAGTCATGCATATACATATATACACATATACACACACATATACATATATACACATATTAACTTTCATATTCTTTTTCATTAAAGGTTATTACAAGCTATTGAATATAGTTCCCTGTGCTGTACAGAAGAAATCTGGTTTTTATCTATTTTTATATGTAGTGGTTAACATTTGCAAATCTCAGACTCCCAAATTTATCCCTTCTCACCCCCTACTCCCCTAGTAACCATAAAATTGTTTACTAAGTCTGAGAGTCTGTTTCTGTTTTGTAGATGAGTTCATTAGTGTCCTTTTTTTTCTTTTTTCCCCCCACATTTGAGTGATATCATATGATATAAAATCTGTATGAGTAATTACACCCTCTCTTTGCATGAAATATTGAAGCAACTCACACAGACACATCATGTAGGATGATATGATGGAGCAGAAATGAAAAACCCAGCACAGAAAAGGAGAATTCAAATGTTATGAGCGCAAGGTCAACATAATTACTTCATTTGTTTCCAATGTGACGTTTTCTCTACAAACAGCCCGCTATCGGAGAGGAATTACTAGAGGAGAAGGAGCCGCTCCTGACAAGTGAAAGGACCGAGTCCCCCCACTTCGTGCACGGGGACAACAGGAGGGAAGAATCTGACTCTCTCCATCTGTCTCAGTATTTGCGGCTGGTCTCTGGTTAGGTTATGGTGGTGGACTAAATAACGCCCCGAAGATGTCCAGGTCCTCATCCATGAATGTTACCTTATGTGGCAAAACGAACTTCACAGAGAACAAAAAGGTAACAGACCACTGATGTAAGATGCTGTGCTGCTGCTTCTGAGGACGGAGGAGCGGCTGTGAGCCAAGGAAGGCAGGCCTGCAGCAGCAGAAGCTGGAAAGGGCAAGAAAAGGGCTTTCCCCCAGAACCTCTAGAAGCAGCATGGTCCTACTGAAACAGAGCAGGACCCTGTGGGGCCTTCCCAGGACAGACACGCCCCCTCGTGTCCTCTGCCTGCCTCTTGTCAGTGGAAAACCCGTAGTCAAAGAATAAGTTTAATCAGAGAAATAAGAAAGTACAGAAACAAAGAGAAGTAGTCAAGCAAAATAATAATAGTTTTTTCTTTAAACAAAGTCGAGGACCTTTAGTTCCTCCTCAAGGGCTAGTTACAATATTCTGAGCCATGTCCTTTGAGCTGTTTTGTAGACACTGCAACCCCCACCAGGTGGAAGAAGTTAAACAACATGAGGACCAGACCAAGGCCATGACAAAAGCTGCCACAAGTCAGAGAACTGGCCTCAAGGATCTAGGAAGAAACTGACCCTGGAGCTGAAGAAGAACTGTACTTAGAACAGTAAGATGACACATGATCAATTCCAAGACGACCGTCAGGGCCGACTGTGCTGTGCTGCACGTAGCCCCCTCCCTCCACGTACACGACCCTGAAACTCCCTGTCAAAAGCTCTTGCTCACTGACTGTCAGTGGGGCCCTGGCCTCTGGGCACAAGTCCACCCCCTGGACCCCACATTAAAGTAATCTTTCCTTTCTACCAACACATGCCTCTCCTTGTACTGGCTTTCGAGCGGCAAGCAGCCAGACTCAAGTTTCAGTGACACCACTGACACCTTGATTATGGCCCAGGACACCTGACTTCAGACTTCTGGCCTTCAGAACTGTAACAGAATAAACATGTACTGTTTAAGTCATCAACTTTGTGTGAATTTGTCCATCAGCCACAGGAAATGAATGCAGGTGTCCATCTGACCTCAGGATACGGTCCTTTTAAGCCCAGAAGAGACCACCCCATTGGGGTGATTTTAAGGACATTCTGTATCCTTAGAGGAGCTGTTTGGAGCATCTTAAGAGGCACCACCTCCAATTCACGTCTCTGGGAGCCCTCCCTGACTTCTGATTATCGGGTGGATGCCTCTGCTAATTTATTCTGACTTCCCAGTCACCTCCCGTTTATCTGTTTGGAACTGCAGCTTCTCTACAGCTTCAGCGGAGCCAGCGGCCATCACTTCTCGC